TGTATAGGACCCCTATGCATGCCTACCTCCTTTCCTGTCAACCTTTTAGCCTGGCTGGGATGAGTAATTTCTCCATTTCTTCTGGGCTTCTTGGGGACCTAGTGCTGGGTTTAACTTTCTTGTGGAAGGCTCACGTAGTGGGGTAGCCTCCCTGGAATGTGAACCCCTGCATTGAGATGCTGTGGAGTTTAGAAATAAAAGGGAATAGAACCCTGTGAAGTTCTAGAAAGATCCTCCAAAGTACTCCCTGTGATCTCCATGACAAAGAGCTGGCATTGGATATCTATCATAGACAGTGACATTAGTACCCTAATAAAGTGAACTAAGCAAGGGAAGCATCATAGTCACAGGTCAAGTGCAGATATATTCAGTTCTTTGCCTTTTCCTTCCTCCTCAACACACTAGAGGAACTAGGTCATGTGGCAGGGGCAGGTGTGGGAGAGGAAAGAGAGCTAGAAAATGCCACCAAATTCTATTTAAGAAGGAACACGCTGGGCTTGTGGCAGAAAAAGAGAGAAGGTTGGCTATAAAATGAGATTGAAGTTGAAGAGTTAACCTGGTTTGGGTTCGACTATTAAAAAGTTGGTTTATCAAGCCCTCCTAGTTGTACTACTACTGCATCCTTAGAACAGATTCCTTCTTTCTGTACTTGCCCTAGGCATTTTTTCAATATGAGTCTCTCTACATGATCAAGTAGGCCATTTATAATCCTGTTCAACATCTTCCAATGGGTTGACATCACACTTCTATTAAAGTCCAAAGTCCCTTCTGTGTCCTTACAGGGCCTGGCCTCCTGCTGCTTCTGTGACTCCAATTCTGTTCACTCTATGCCTTGCTCAGCCACTCTGGCCTCCTTTCTCTTCCCTGAATGTAACAAGCACATGCTCATTTCACAGCTTTTGCTGTTCCCGCTGCTGGAAATGGTTTCCTGAGAATTTGCATCTATCTTCCCATTAATTTTCCACTCTCTTTAGAGAAGCTACTATTATCCAAAGCAGGAATTCCCACCCTCCAGCCCATTCCAGGAAGTTTTTTCCTTTCCATTTTTCCCACGGTTCTTAATTCAGGAAGTGTTAGCATTCTACTGTTAGCTTTCATAATGTGCCACTGTCTGTTTCTTCTGATAGTATCTAAGCTTCATAGGAGGGGTAACTTTTGTCTTTCACTTATCTTAACATCTTGGACAAAGAACAGTGGTTAGCACGAAGAAAGGTTTCAGAAATTTGTTGAATGAATGATTGCCTGAGGTATCATGAAGGGGAATCAACATGAATTTAAGATTTAGTATAAAACTAAGTTTCTATACCACCGATTCTATACCACAATGATTCATTAAAAACATCAATATTACATGGATTACATTTGAGTTTGCTGTGAGTTACTTTACCAATACATAAAATGATTGACCTAATGTATAAAATTTAGAGTGAGGTCCAAGACAAGGAGCAAAATTTTGGGAAACTGATACACATGGCAGCTTAAAAAAAAGGATTTTGCATATGCTGCCATTAAAAATGAGTGCCTTTCCTGTGCATTCGATCTAAATGAATGTATTTAAGTTTCTTTAGCCATTAAAAGATAGTAATGAGGGAAAGGGGAACTGTTAGGAGGATAACTGAAAAAGGGGTGAAGGTTAGGCGCTGGTGGCTCATGACTGTAATCCTAGCTACCTACTCAAAAGAGACTGAAATCTGAGTCATGGTTCAAAGCCAGCCTCGGCCAGAATGGTCATCAGACTCTTAGCTCCAATTAACTACCTAAAAATCATAAGTGTGGCTGCGGCTCAAAGTGATAGAACTCTATCCTTGAGCAGAAAAGGTCAGGGACAGCACGCAGCCCCTGAGTTTAAGACCCATGATCAACCAAAAAAGAGTGGTAAACATAACATGTGATAGATATCATGTGACCTATCATGGTGCTTCTTGTTCCCACAATGCCTTGGGCTCCTATTAAAACCTTTTTCTTTTCATAATGCCCTGGGTGTCTGCTCAATGGATGGGAAAAAGCCAGGACAGCACAAGCATAATCCATCAAGCAATCAGCACAAAGCTCAAAGGAAGGGATTTGGGAGGAGCCTGCCCTCCAAGAGTACTCCATGGGACTTCTCTTTGGAGCTTCTCCTTTTGAAAAGTCTCACTATTTTCACTTTCAAAAGACTTGCTCTGGGAAGTGGCACTGTGGCTCAAGCGGTAGAGCACTCGCCTTGAGCTGAAGAGCACAGGGACAGTGCCCAAGCCCAGAGTTCAAGTCCCATGACCAACCCCCCCCCAAAAAAAAAAGACTTGCTCTGTATGCTTTAAATACTTTTCCTGCCTTTCAATTCTTTAATGACTAGAGAAAATAAACCTCATCCCTAGATGGTATCAGTTGGAAATATCTGGTTTGGGGCTTGCCCTTCCTTACCTTTCAAAGTAGAAGCTTGTTGCATGAAGAATCCATATAGAAATACCCTGTCATTGTCATCTGAATGAAGCCATACATGTCTGCAGCTGCTTTGAGTGGGCTCAAGAAAGACATCAGAGAGACATCAGAACTGCTAAGCTGATTTCAGTCCTAATTGAGGATTCACAGATGTTTGAGTTAATGAATAATTGTCTCAAATTACTAACTTTTAGTGTGTTTGTTACACAGCAAAATCTGTTATAGTAAGCTCAGCTGCATTATGTACTAAGCTAAATTCTATTAAAGACATTGAAGGGGAAAAATTGTTAAGACATAGATTGTAGCTTCTAGCTCATTTAGATCTGGGTGATATTTCTAGTTCATTTAGATGTTGCTATATATTACTAGCTATATATTACTTCCAGGTTCTGTGGCCTGGGCAAATTGTGTAACCTCTCTTGAACCTTAGTTTTCACATACATAAAGAAGAGAACAGGCTTAAAAACATTATCTTTGTGCTACTCTAAGTCTCATCTAAAGAAAGCAACACAAACATGATATGGTAACTTACTAGAAATGCATGATCTCAGGTTTTACTCTAGGCCTGCTCAATATCTGTACTTTAATAACATGCACAGGTAATTTGTGTGTCCATTACAGCTTAAGAAGTACTACCTGGTCACCCTGGCATAGGCCCAAATCAACACATCTCGAAGAATCCTGAACAAAGAACTATCAGCTTTTCCCTGGGATCTGTTTTTCCCTTTCCAATCTTCCTGGGAAACTTGATCTAGGATATTTTTTTTCTTGGCTTCTTCACAGGCAGACAGGCTGAGCTACCAAAAAGAGTTCCCCCACCCCAGCCCACCAGGATTCAGCTAAAATTGTAGTGTATTAGTTTAGCTGGAGAGTGGTTAGTGGACTCTCATCCTCTCTTGCTTAAAGATGTTCAGTGGGCAAACTTTCCTTGGTTATCTTCCTGTCTTTTATCTCCTGACCAAGAATGCACTAAGAGAATGAGCCTTTTGCATCTTCAACTGCCTCTCCTCCCCCTGCTTCCCAGAGTCCCCCCCCCCCACTTCCCTCCCCACACTCCCCCAACATGTGCGCGTGCACACACACACACACACACACACACCCTTTCATTCTAGAGAGGCAGACCTGCTCAGGCGGCTGAGCATGCCCAGTTTGTCTGCGAGCATGGCCCCAGTTCCCAATGCGCAGGTGCCACGTCTCCGGGTTTTGGTGGCCGCCGGCAGAGAGGGAGGAGGCGGGGTAGCCCCCTCCCGGAGTCCTTCCTAAAGCCTCTCCTACTTAGGGTCTGCACAAAGGGTTACGCTAACTAGATCAAAGGCGGTTAGGGCCTAAGTGCAGGGGTGATTTGGAGGTGCCCGGGGCTGTGGTTGGGCTAGGGGTAGTACCCCCCAGAACCCCTGGGAGCAGAGTCTGGGGGCGGGGTGCGGGGAGTGTGGCACATTTGAGGCTGCACTCGGGAGAAGACTTTTTGGGTCCACTTTATCTCTCTCTGAGGCTCAGCTTAAGCCTGGAAGTTAAAAAAAGAAAAAAGAAAAAAAATTAGAAAGGATCCCAGTAGTACTTGCTTTGGAAAATTGTTGCACGGATTAAATGAAGAAAAACCGTTTAGAACAGTGCCTGGCACAGTATGTACACGCCTTATTTATTAAAAAACACAACAAAACAACACACAGAAAACAGCCCTGCCGCCTGCCCCGGCCAGCGGCGCCGGGGCCCGGGCTTCGCGGGTCTCAACCCCACAGCTCTTTCTACGCCCACCGCGCCCCCCACGGCCCTCTGCCAGCCTGGGCCCACCCCAGCCGGGTGTCCCCGGCCCCGGCTTGTGTTCCCGACGCACCCCGAACTCCAGGGAACTACCGGGGGAGACCCCCCGAGGTGCACTCACGGGGGGGGGGGGGTCTGCTCCTCCGGACGCCCCACCCACCTTCTCCCAAAGCGCTCCGCCGCCCTCCACGGGGCTCAGCCCGTCCGGCGCCCCCTCCCCGCCCCGCGGGCTCCCAGCACCGCCGCTGCCGGCTCGGCCCCTGCCCACCCCCCCAAGCACAGCCCGGGCGCGCCGCACTGGGCATGCTCCGTAGCCCGGGCAGGTTGGGGCTGCGAGGCGACAGCTCGGGCTCCGGAGCCAGGAGGCGAGATAGAGGAGGGAGACTCGGGGGACCGGGGGAACCGGGCGCAGCCGGGGAAGGGGAAGCAGTGGGCCAGGGGAGGGTGGCGGGGAGCGGGGTGGGGGGGCACGCTGAGCCCGGCGGGCGGTGCGGCGGGCGGGCGCTGCCCTGTGGGCTTGCCCGGGAAGGACCGCGGAGACCCCCCCACTCCCTTCATCTGCGGAGGTAAGGACCGCGCGGCGGGGAGGCGGGGAGGCCGGGGAGGGGGGCGGAGGCAGGCGGGAGGGCGGGACTGGGGTGCGCCGGGAGGGGGTTCGGCGGCGGCGCTCGATGGCGGGGAGGGGGTTAGTGGCGCCGGGAGCAGTTAAGTGAGCTGCACCGCAAACAAGATCTCACAGATCCAAGCGCGCGCGCGCGCACACACACACACACACACTCTGTCACACACACACACACACACACACACACACATATACACACACACACGGGGTCTCCAAGGCAGGCAAGGCGGCCGTGGTCGCGTCTTTGGCAGCAGCTCCTCCAAGCAAAGTGTGACAGGTAGGAGAAGACATTCCCGGATCCCGCCCCAAGGATGCTCCCGCCCGCCCCGGCCCGTGGCTGGCTGGGGGCTTGTTTGCTTTCGGAGGGTGCGTCCCGACCACGCGCGGGCTCGCGCGCGCGCGCACCCGGATGCCCGGTCGGGTTCCCCGGGTGCAGGTGCCCGGGTGCCAGACGCTCCGCGCGCGCGCGCGCGCGCGCACACAAGGGAGCCAGGGGACCCCGTCGCCTTCCCTCCTTTCCCAACCCCCTCCCCCCTCCCCGCCTCTGTTTGCCTGTAGTCATCTCTTACTGGGTTTTCCTCAGACTCTGAAACGTTCACCCTCTTCTGGACTAGAAATAGCTTGGCTCGACGTGTATCTGATTATTTTGGTTGGAAATAGTTGGCATCGTGCTAAGCATGTAAATGTGTGTGCGTGTGGGTCCTAACCTCTCTTGGGGACGTTGTAGAAATGGTGGACCCTTTTCCACTTAAAATAACCCTGATTGGTGCAGCACTTGGAGGGGAGGGGGTTGCGGAGAGTGTGGGTCCGTGTTTGACCCTTCTAAAAGCGGATAACTGAAAGATAGTATAGGTGTCTTATTTTCAGAATTTTAAAGTTGCTTCTTTTTTTTTTTTTCTTAACCAGTTAAGTCTTGTGTGTTTCCGAGTTTTAGACTTTGTAGACTGTGGAATCGAAGTATGAAAACATGGATTTCTCCAAGTTCCAAATGTGCCCCAGTGCAACTTTACCTACAATCATAAAACTATCATAAGACTAGTATTTTTTCCCCACAAAGAAAGGCAGATGTCTATTATATTTCCACAAATAACACATGCATTTGAGTGCTGCCTCTAACTTTTTCTTAAAAAAATAAAAAAGCCTTGTAGTGATTCTAGCTATTGTTCTGAAAACAAAGTGTTTGAGATTTAAATTGAGGCAAAACTATTCATAGAAGGTCACCATATTTTTTAAGGCTTAGAATGGTCTATAAATTTAACGGTGTGTGGACATAGCTGTTGAATGATCTTGTTGGTTCTTAATGTCATCCAAGCATAGGCAACTGTATAACAGCTCAAAAAGGAATTGAACTTCCTCTTTAAAGAGAACTCAGATTCATAAAGGAAATATGACCAGGAAAAGCAACTAGTGACTTTAACCTAGGCATTCTCCAAGAACGTTAAGAAAGGGTCTGAAGAAATGTTCTCTTCAGTAGGAAAATTGTGTGTGTGTGTAAAATGTTAACTCTATCTTTTTTCAAGATGTTGCTTTGAGAACTGTATGATTGAAGTGACAAAGAATCTACTGGTTTATACTCTTCAAACTTCAGTGGCCTAAGTTCCTTGTCAAACAGATCAAAAATCAGTTGGAGCAGGGTGGTGTAATCCCCAACTATGTTACATAATCTACTGGGTTGTGTTTTTCGTATAACAGTCTTGCCTATTTTTCAGTTGCTGTATTGATCCATCATATCATCTTTCTTTTGAACTGGAGAAGCTTAATAAATGATTGCTGTCTTGGGAGAACACCTGCTTTTGTTTTTTAAAAATACCAGTTTTAAATGGGTAGCATTTTATCAACATTTTAATGCATAAGTGACTTTTGCTTCTGGAACTAGTAACTCTTTGAATGTAACATAACCTCTGTCTAAAGATCCCATGTATTGAATTACTGATTACGTTTCCCTCCAACTATATCATTCTTCAGCCATCAGAACTTAGTTTTGATTTAGCTTTGATAAATTAAGCCCTGAATTAAATCTGAGGTGGAAATGCTATTCTGCAAGTAACTGTCAAAACAGAATTTCAAAGACTCTGTTTGATCAAGGGTGCACATTCACGTCTGTTGGAATAATTCTACCTTTATTTTACAAGTGCACACCCCCGCAGAAGAGCTTTGTTCTCAAATACTCTTTGGGAAGTTTTATATTTGCGTGCCAGAGAAAATGTGAGTGATGTGAAACTACTTACATTCCCCAGAATCTTGAGGTGCTATGTGTGAGTCTTAGGAGGTGATGAAATACGGGAATTTAAAAAGTATTAACGGTCAGGCATCTGTGGCTTACTCCTGTAATCCTAGCTACTCATAAGGCTGAGATCTGAGGGTCGTGGTTTGAAGCCAGTCCAGGCATGAAAGTCCATGAGACTTATTTCCAATTAACCACCAAGAAGCCAGAAGTGGATATGTGGCTCCAGAGGCAAAGTGCTAGCTTTGAGTGAAAACCTAAGAGAAAGTACTCAGGGCCTGAATTCAAGCCCTAGTACTAGAATATGCACAGACAGACAGACAAATAGGCAAACAGACAGATACACACACACACACACACACACACACACACACACACATACACACACAGACACACACACACAGTGTTAAGGCTTAACAGAAAGCTTTTTGCAGAAATGGATTTTAAAAACTGTCTCACTTCTGAAAAACTGCATCCCAGCAGACTTGCAGAGACCAGTCTGTCCTTCTGGTGCTGCTGTTTTGTCTTTTCCAAGAACATATGTAGCTGCCTTTAGATTAGTATATACTGCTGCTGATTTTGGTAACATGGGACTGTTATATTCACAATCTCAATGAGTATGCCCCCCCCTCCAACCTGGGATAATGCTAAATCCATTTAAAGATTAAGGATTAAAATTAAGAATTCAAATGATGACAATTGTCTTGTATTCATTGGTACCAGTCCTGGAAGTGAAAATGGAGGTGAATTGAGCTTTGTTGCTACTCCATTGTTGTCCTTGAATCCATCCCCCTTGGGGATGAAAACTCATGAAAGGCTGTGATTTAAGGCAGTTAGCTTTGGGTTCAGGGTCTGGATTTCCAGTCCCAGTTTTTTCAAATCTAACTGCAAACTCAGTTATCAGACTGCATGAACAGTATTTGAGGGCTACTTTTTTTTTTTTTTTTGTAAAGTTAGTGAGTGGCTACCACATTTGCTTTTATTTTAAAGACTTTTAAACATAAAACTGTTCACATCTTATGTTGAGAATATATTATATCTTTTTGGGTCAGAGCACATAAGTAATAGTGTCAGGCAGGAATAGGCAGATGATATATTTCTCATGTTTCCTACGGTGTCCGTAGGAACTCAATACTTGAGTGAGTTCAAATATTTTTGGGAAAGGGTATTCTTTGAAACCTGTAATTATTTATAGTAAGATTGGGACTAAGTTATTGGCATTGGTGGTCACTTCTGATGTAAGGATGAAACAGCATGTGTGTTAGCACAGATGAGCCAGCTTTTTAATAAACTCTCATCACAGTGAGTTCCTGTAAGATCAAGAATTTCTGTGTTTGAAATGCAGAATTAGGTCAAGGACTAATGGCGGTGCTTTAATGAACACCATTGATATTTCATGTCCAGACTGAAATTCCTCAAGTAGTGACTTTTTCCATTTTATAATATGAGCGTATAGACACATTCTATGTCTGCAGGAAACACATACTCACCTACTGATAAATAAATACATTATATCTTTTTGGATCAGAGCACATAGGTAATAGTGTCAGCACTGATGGATTTCAGCTGTGGCTGTCCGGTTTTGCTGTTGGCATTTAAATGTTAACCTTGTTTGCAAGGATACTGCTTAATACTTAAGGCTGCCCACTCTACATTTTCCTGTTTCCCTGTCAGGCTTAGGAAAGAGACAGAATAACCTTGCTTAGTATGCATAGTATTTGCTTTTTCTGTTTAATAGTTTTTCTTCTGATAAGCCTGATACTATGAAGCAGAAATACTTTCTCAACTTGTAATATCACTTATCTAATAACACATTCGAATGATATAAAGGTTTTGCATTATCTAGAGGCTGTTGCCCCCCTCCCCAAATATATAAATGTGTTTGCGTCTCCTGCAGTGGGTAGCGGTAGACTAGGTAATAATCTATTACTGGAGCGGGTGAATGAGAGGTTGTATTGTCTTTGTTGGATTTAATCCTGCTTTCAAAATAACCAACTGAGAATCAGTTTTATTTGCAAAGTCTGTTTTTCACTCCATTGCAAGCACAACCTGTGAAACCTCATTTTCTCAATGTCTATCTTGTTGCTCATGTGTTTGGATGCTTTCTTCTCTGCTGAAGGTATAATCAAGTTCCTAGAGGAGATGAAAGTCATATTTGCCTTCCTTTCAAGTCTCATCTAAGAAACTATTATGTTCAGGGCAATGAATGACCAGCTATTTACATGTAATCCACTTTTTCTTTAAGGAATCAAAACAGTTGAAAGAGGCCATAAATCAGAAGGTTTTCCTCTGAACACTTTTCTCATCTAGTACTTACAAAGTCTTTGGTGAGCACATGCACAACACATGACTACAAGATAATGTTATCTTCTCCCCTAGTGTGGGAGTCTCCTTCATAGCTCTTCTCCCATGATCCTTTGGGGAATTCTACCTTCTACTATTGAAACAGTTTGGGGCCAGGCAAATCATTACTTTAGGATGTATTACTCTTCTGAAGCACGTTTTCCCTCCTAAACAATTAAAGGATGTTTTGGTTCCTTGGCATGAAGAATCTTTTTTTTTTTTTTGACATCTCACAGCAATTTTATTTTTTTCTGGGTTTGTGTTCATTTACTTAAAACATTTTTAAACCATTTTTTATTGTCAAGGTGAGGTGCAGAGGGGTTATAGTTACATACATAAGATGTACATTTCTTGTCAAACTTTTTACCCCTTCCCTCATTTTTCTCCCACTTTCCCTCCCCGCACTTCCCCCCACCAGTTGTAAGATCATTTTCAACATATTGTCTTGTGAATATGGCTGTTACATTGGTTCCCCTCTTATCCTTTGTCTCACCATTCTGTTTTTCCCCTTCCTTTCCCTAATTCAGATAAACATATATACAATACCATCTTTAAAAGTTACACAGAGAAAAGTACTGGTCTTCCTACCTTATTCCACTGCCTAGTTTTCTGCCTGGAGACAACCACTATCTTCTAGGGATATTCCATGAAAATATAAGCATTGAATGCATCCACTTAAGTAACAGCATTACATCCAGAACATTGCATGT